TTAGTTTTAGCTGTAACACAAGCACATTTTGTATAAACCAAAGTGCGGCATTTCATACAGTGGATCATTTCGAAGATTTGTGCTCGTCCACAAGCTTTTCTAGGAGGTCGAAAAAATGATATACGTTTTCCCTGTAAAACTCCGGTGTCTGTCTTCGGTCCAACTTGGGCAACTTGAAGAATTTATATATAATGATCAACAACAATCTTAATATAACATAATCTCTCAAAATTAATACTGTAAATTATAGATAAATAAAGAAGCTTTCTGATGATAAAATAATAATCGGTAAAACTAACGTTTTAACGGCTTGACAGCTCTTGCACTTACGTCGTTATAATAGATTTGATAATCAATGATACACGAAGTTGTTGTCACGACGAAAGCACGCGGCAAGTTTTAACCCAAATAGTTGCATTAATTGTTTATAAATACGAGTAAAACAAGGGGCCAGTCAATTTTTGCATAAACTTCAACAGTCCGCGGATATCGTGGTGGTCCAACTTAGGCGCTGGTCCAAATTATGCTACCTTCCCCTATGTGTATCAAATGTACCTATGAAAGTACTTTCAGTTTTTGCATACGCACTCTCAAAATTCAAAACACTTTCCCCTGAACGTTTTCCAGTGGAGATTGTTTTTAGTTATGAGCAAAGTTCCTTCGTAGTTACTGATATTAAAAAAATAAATAAAAATTGTTATATTTACGTGAAACCCCGATAAAATTGTTGCTAATTAGGTGAAGTTCATTTTAGAAAATCAAACACGTAAACCATGGTTACTTCAGAGGAAAATTAGCCCGATTTGTGGATACACGATTGGTTTTTGCATGAACGTATAACTCACGACATCGATAGCTGCGTAGAATCACAGAAAATCATGTTAAGCTAGACGCTGTAACTTTGCGACTTCGCGAATCTTGCCATTGTCGAGCACGGGTCGTGGCAGTCGTGAGAGTGATAGCTGTCGAAGAGTCTCGATGCGGTGGGCATCTGAACCTATGCGCGCTGGGTCGCGACCCTCGCGGCAGTCTATCGGAACAACGTCGCCGCAATCGTCGTCGCGACGGCTATGTTGCAGTCATGCGCTGTGCTGCGTTATAAACATCGCGTTACCTATATAATACGCCGGTATAATACGCTCGCATTACGATACATTATGGCGTGTCCACGACGCAGCGCACGACACGATGCTCGCGCTGCAAATGGCGTAATCGAGATCGACAAGCATGCAGTGTAAGCGCCCCGGCCGATCGCGATTCAATCGATTCGATCTAATAACCAATCTAATGCTGCCATAATGGAATATATTGCAAAACTAGGAGTTGGTATCATCGTGTTGTGTTAAGTGAATAACAACTTTTAAAAAATTCTATCCAGACTGAAAAATTAGTTATATTCTAGTTTCATGCTAGCAAAAAAGTTTAAAAGTTAAAATTTACATCAAATTTGTTTTTTTTTTCTGTTTATCGCAGAAAAACACTTAGTGTGGCTAATTTTTCGTTCCTACTTGAATTAAATTGAATTGTCACACGTGCCCCGATTTGCATACCTATACATAGTTTAAGATTTGTATGAAGCGCTATTAATCATTAGCTTATAAGTCGGCGAAGGTTTTTATGCCTTTATAGCTTTCATCATGCATAACAAAGTAGGATGCTACTATATGTCTATTCACATTTGAACGCAGTAAACCGGTCAACAAAACGTACATCTAAGAAGTGCAGTTTATCGGGTTATTCATGACGATATAAATAAATACTGAGCAGTCCTCCACTTCTTTTGGTTTTGTTGGAATCGAAACGTCGATATATGAAAAAGCAGAAATTGTTTATGTTTGTATCAAGTTGGTTATAGACCTATATGTATAAGCGTAACGATGTTCCTCCCTACGAGAGAAGTGAGCACTAAAAGAGCACTCACGACGACTAAAAATAGTGCAAGTACAAACTTACTTGGTGTGTTCGATCATTGCGTGCAAATATATAAATATTGTTAACTTGTTGGTGGGTTGTTTATTACTTATCGGATACAAGACAGCACGTTAGAGAAACATGAGTCGTTATGCAAGTTTTAAATGTAGCGCGTAAATACATATTTACTACCTGCTTACTCTCAACCAAATTACACCAACTTTTTGCTTATTTTGGAAATATTAATTTTATATTAATTTATAAAATTACAGTATAATAATGCAATAATACGAATTAATATTAATAAAAATTATTTTTCCTTTTTAATGCTGTATGAGAACATTTAGGTAATAGGTATGTGAAATCACCAAAAAGCAAAAGTTGAACAGTCGACTGCGTGTTGAAGCAGATAATCAATTTATTTTCAGTGTGCAAATAATTCTAATTACTAGTCATGTGAGACACGCAGACTAGGCAGGCAAGTGTGCGGCGATGAGTAAATCGCGGCCGTGCATGATACGCCGCTACCAGCGGGTCTATGAATATGCAATGAACTCTTGGAGCTATTGCTATCGTCAGGCAATAACTATTAACTTCTTCGGTTTTCTTTGCTGTGCACGATACGTATATTCCCACTTGGCAAACACTAATTATCATCCGGTGTACCCCTACGAGGCGCATCCACATGCTCTTCTTCATTTAGCAATTTTCGATTATTGAATTAGTTTAAGAACATAGATTAATGTATTTTTACCCCAAAAGGTTAAATTTTTAAAAGTTTGTTTGTTCGTTGATTCCTCTAGAGATGTAGGTATGTAGGTATTTTCTTGAGGGAAATAATTGATTATACTTTCGGGAATATTATGTTGAAGTAGCACCTGTTGGGTGCCCATGCAATGGAACTCGTTTTTGTGATCAATTAAAGTAAAAAAACATAAAAAACCTACACCGAGATGTTTCTTCAGTTTGTCCTTAACAAAAATGACATTTAGAATACTATGTTGTTTTACTGCTTCTGTTGGCAGTTTTGAATATTCTTTTAATACCTACGCTTTAATGTAAATATGGGTTTAGATATCTACTCCTTGTTTTCGCGCAGTCAGTTAATTTATATCTTGTTAGAGAAAAAGTTAAACGGAAACCGGAAAGAAGAAACCACAGATAGGTACTGAATTTCTGTAAGGTCGTCATGGTATTGTATTCTAACCAAAGTTTAAATGCTCTTAGGCGCATGTGATTAATGTTATTGGTGGAAAGTGTGGAAGCACATAGCAACCTCGGCTGTCGTCCATTATAAATAATTTCTTCCTCTGGCATACGCATTTAGCGCCTTAATGTTATTTTGCACATTGTTTGCATCCGAGCGGGTTTCAACAACGAATTAATTTTCTTGTTAACCTAATCTATTGTAATTTAAATTAGAAAAATTTAACGCTTTAATGTTCATCTTTGCAGTTGTATCGAAGGTAAATGAATGTTAAATTGCCGTGAGGGATACAATTTTATTATTTTTAAACTTTTCGCTGCATACTTGAGTTGTTTATCAGCGTGTTGCTTTCGTGTTTCGCATCTTGTCTGCGTTCGCGGGGAATGCTACCGGATGACCACGGCGTCCAATGAATTATTGCGCTTGCTTCCTTTTATGCGGCAAGCAAGTGAAATCAACCTGCGCACGTATTTAACATTAACTTATTTTTCCTAAGATTAGAAAATGTAAATCATCCACTTTGCGCAACTTTGCCTTTGCGTCATGCGGCTTGGCTCTTGCCGCTTTTAATTTATGTGTTCGGATAAATCAGCGCTTCAGAGTTCTTGGTTGTAATTTAGTTGCAAAATGTTGCAGACGTTTTGGATGTTACGAATGTATTCTAGTATCAATTCATTCATAACGAGTTTAAGTCTTTTTTTTCAAAGACTGGAACATGATTCTGTAAGAATATAGGTATTTCCGCAATGCAAAAAATACCAATTCCTTAAATAAAAAGGAATAACTAATTTAGCTTTCAGAATTTTGATAAAAACTGGACTTCAAGTGTACAAGTAAAAAAGTTATTAAAATCTTTTAAATGACTTCAAATCTTGAATAGTTCTACCTTCTGGGCTCATGATAATTGAGAAGAAAATAGCCAGAGAATCTTTGACATATTTATATCTATTTGCAATAAATTGCCAGCCCAGGGAAGTGGCCATTACTTGTTCGACTTTTTGTCTTGCTATGGTGAGCGAGCGCTTTAAAGTTCTTCGGCTATCTTTACTACCACAACGATTCTCCGCTCCGCTGACTTTCGACGCATATTTTGTTTAATAAACTTTATTTAAGGCACGTAATAACAGTGATTGACGTTATCAAATGTGTGCGCTCAAACAAGATATACGAGAGATGAGAAAGATGAGTAAACGGGTAAACGAGGCAAGCACATGATAAAAATCCAAAACGCATGCGAGACGGCAAAAGCGTATTGGAATAATGTAAAATACGCGTGTCGATCGCAAGAGCCACGTGTGTAATAGGCGCGTTTTAATGGCATAATTTATTTCCTACAACCGCGTAAAAGATATGCGCATTGAGTCATTATCGATGTTTGGGTGCAACGTTATTCAAATTTACAGCTGCCGAGAAATAGATCTTAGTAGATTTCTGCTTAGTGATCTGATCTACAAGTCGACTAATTCTATGCATTTGAAGCTTAACACAAAATTGCCAAATCACCTTACTGTGAATTCAAAAAGAAAAATTACTTGTATAGTGGTGCATTTTGTCAATAAAAAGTTTAAGGTAGGTACCCAAATTGATTGAAGGTGGTTATATAGCAGATACCGACTATTTTTTTTTACCCAACTTGCTCCGTAATAAGACGAGATAAAGCATTTTTGCTCCCATTTGAGTTATGTCCGTTTGATTAGCAATGCAGGCAGACACTGATTGCACCACAAGAAGTTTTATTAAATGTCGTGTTCCTGATGATAACCTTCGCGACCTGTCGTTAAGATTACATACGTTCATATAGAATGAGTAACGCTCGTCGCCTCCAGATACTGCTTTCGTCTCCGACCCTGAACTAACATGTGCTTATGGTTTTATTTTTCAGCAGCAGCACGAACAGTATCTTGGCCCGGCGTACGACCCATCCCGCGATCTATCGCCCAACCTGCCGTCGTGCGACTCGTCCATGGGGGACGCGGAGCCGAGCATCTCATCGTTGAGCGGCAGCGGCAGCTCGTGCAGCACCCCGTCTAACAACAATCACTTGGCAAGCTCGTGCGGCTCTGATACTTGCCGGCCCCCGGAAGTGTGCACACCTCATAGCAATTTCGAGCATCACATACCGAAGCTAGAGCCGCTACAAACGCCACCCTCGCCGCCGCTGCATCACACAAACGGCGATCCGACTGTTTGCGCTGGCTGTGGTATGCGAATTGCTGATCGCTTCTACCTGCAGGCGGTCGACAGGCGGTGGCACGCCGCCTGCCTACAGTGCTGCCAATGTCGCAATCCACTAGACGGTGAGGTTACCTGCTTCTCACGGGACGGCAATATATACTGCAAGAAGGATTACTACCGGTATGTTACTGGATCTATTTTATATACTACCATTCTTTCGATGTATTTAGCGGAGTACACATGCGTAGTAGCACAAATATTCAATGCGTATGCGTCCAATAGAAATTTTACATACACGCGACTAGCTTGTCCATCATGGGGGTCTCTTCAACCCGCATGATTTATGATAGGCCCATTATGTTCCAGTCTAAACATATTTCCTTAAAAGGGGGCTTGGCGCGATGGGGTTCCGTCAATGCTCGACGGGTTGGCGAAGCATGTCATGGGACAGCAAAATCATCGCCATCGCGCCACAGTTGTCAATATACCTCACACAGACGATGCGGCGCTTCGGTGCGTATCTATCTGCGCTCGCGCCGCGCTGATATCTATTGTGTGCTGACATGAAAATTCGAGCGGCGGCAATTTATTCGGCGGGACGATAAGTCGCAGCCGCGCTCTCGGCCGGAGGTAAATGGCCAAGTCGTGACCATTAAAACAGCGTTCGGTCGGTTGGTTAATGCATCGCGTACGGTCGCATCGTAGAAATCGATGTTGTTAATTGATTCGCTTTTGCAATCGCTTCAGCGCTGAGACGTCGGGCGACAGTTCCTCAAAGGAGTTGAGTTTGTTATGCACTGAATAATTGATATCGGATTATTTTTCAAGTTGACAAATGGATTTAGGTTTGTGAAAATTTACAAGTACCGTCAAACAGTTTTTATGCCATAATTGAAAACGCCTGTGTGCTTGCATAAGTATCTTTTATTTGTGTTCTTCTCCTGATTAAGATAGGAAATTTTGGGCTCGCGACCTAAATTATAGAAATGGATCGGAAGAAGAAAACATGTCTCAAGCCGAAAAAAATAAACGTGAATTGCTGTCAGAATGCGGACCACCGTTATATTAAATTCGTGATTAATACCTGCGAGAAGCGAACAGGTTGACGTCTTTTCACGGTTTTGCTGGTTTCCCCTTTTTATCTTCGTGAGCATACAAGAAGTTGGCTCAGCACGTCCGCAAGTGTCGTAGCTTAACGATTCGTTTCTTTGTAGTATTTTTAATCTATGGATTGCTTTTTCTTTATTTCTTTGCTGTGCTGTAGTCTTGTTGAAGTCCTCAAGCCTCGTTGAGATCTTTTCGAGCACCGTTCAACTCATGCACCCGATTGTAGCCTCATTGTGTATGGACCAGACTCAGAGAAGTCGTACATTCTTTGGCGTACTGCGCATACCGATTCCATCGACATTTTCATATAATAATTCCTCTCTCGCACTAGATGTGTATATGTAAACGAATGATAAAAGCGGTAATGAAACCCAGTAGCAAACGAGAATGACATTTGAGCATTAATAAAGCATGTCGCATTATTAATCCTGTGGGCCAAAACGTTTAGAGCATATGCTTGGGCTATGAAAAAAATTATGTGATTTACTGCAGTTTGCTGACAAATATAAATAAATACAGATTGAAACCAACCGACGTTTGCAGTTGGCACTGAGAATTGGCGTAATTCCTAGCATATTAAACTAATTACTCGGGTCATCTTATACTAATAGATATATACCTACCTACATGCACTTGAAGGCTGTTTCTTGTTAGTTTGATTTTCGGATTCAATAAAATGTGATTTGCGTTTCGCAGTAGGTACACAACTAGTTGATACATGTGATAGCGGGAATTTATGAATGGCAATGGGACGATCTGAAAACACATATGTAGCACGCAAACACGGCGGATGGCTCGTTCAGTAGCCAAGGCAGTATGGCGCGCCAACCCGATCACCGATGACGATTTCCGCGAACCGATCGTCCGGTCGTTCCGGCCAATATAATGGTGGAGGAGTGACCACACACAAGGCGACGGTGCGACCCCGATACCCAAAGTGCACACTCGGAAATCTGATCGGATAATAGCTCTTCGTTTGCTCGGTGTCTAGTTGGAGAGTCGTGGTCTTGTCATATTATCAGTGAGCGCTTAATGCTCATGGATATCAAGGAATTTATATTTTGTGCCAAACGAATGGCCGAAACAACACAAATGCTTAAATACACATGAATATGCAATTATTTATAATGAGTTAAGTATAATATTATTTTTTGCATTTACTTGTTATATATTGTCGAAAATGCATTCTACCTATGCATTCTGGTTCTCTGGGGGTTCTTAGTTGTGATTTTCTTCTTCAGCCGTGACGCGACCGCATGTAATCCAGCTAAAAAAGCAGCACATGTCTGTGCCCTATATCAGATAGGTGTTAAGGATTGCAGTGTTCGCATTCAAACACTACTTGAAACCTACCTTTGGACGTAATTCTGGCAATCACTCGACGATCCCTTACCGACTTGCTCCTCGCACTTATTGTCTTTGGCTTGTGCATGCACATGAGGATGGTCTGGCAAGTTAAACACAGGCGGACCACGGATGCATATCACACTAACTTGTTTGTGTGACGCATGAAGCACAAAAAGTACAGAAGTAGAAAAAAATGACGGAGTGAAAAAAACGGAGCGTGATAATCTTATCCATTTCCTGAGCGGGCCACTGTCGTAGTACTCGCATAGTAGACACGCGAACTCAACTCATAATACCGATGCATGATACTCGTATAACATTTTAGCTTTTTTTTAGTCATGTTTTTCAGCTGTTGCGTGCAGGACACCTGTGTTTCCACGCAATCGAAAACAAAAATTGCGTAAAATATTAGCCAACAAGAAAACACTTCAGTTAGATTTCTAATGAAAATATGATAAGAGCAATTGAAACAAGAGCAATTATTTGCCTCTTGTAGGTATTTCAGGTACAATAGGCAGACAATCGCTGGGCTTATACCTATCTCATGATGTAGGATTAATTTTTGAAGCCACAAATGCTGCTAATATTGCAAATTTTTCGACTGGTATTCGTTTTAGCTGCTTCATTTGTTAGATTAATTTTGTTTCGTGGAGCAAGCGTGGGATCGCCTGCGACCGGCAGGGCGGACAAATGAAAGTTAAACGAGCATTAAACGAACGAACGCGCAGGTTGGATCACTACAACGTTAATAATTTTCAATCATCGGCCATTGTGATTTATGTTGTTTGCACCTTCAGCCATTTATTCGTGTTCGCATGGCTTCAAATTGATTAGAAACATTGGCAAGCTCGCTGGTGTACGTACGAGCTAAATAAAGTGCATCATAAAAAGCGAAAGCAAATGAGAGTCGGCGTAAACGAATCGTTAAAGTGGAAGAAATAAATAATCATTTTTGCGTCTCTCCTTCACCTACACCGGTGTATAGTACAGGTATACGCTACGCAGTGGAAAATAAGAAAATGATTAATTTCTTAATATAACGCTGGTGCCCGTTTCCTCTATAAAATAATTGATTTTTGCAATTTCGCGCTGAATTAATTTAAATCACGATCATCCGTCATCTATTTCCAAGGCATTTGTTGTTGTTGCTGGTTTTCTTTGTGTTAGTATTACTATTCCAGCGTCCCTGAGTGTCTCACTTCAATGGAGATAAAAATAATAAATTGCTATCGATTTTAATCATGCAATGTTATAAATTAACTTCGATTTTATGTATATTTGCAACTTAACTAGAATGTTGTGCGCGTAGTAAGAAGCATGAAGCGTTATTTTTGCATGTATAATGATGCAGAACGAAAAAGTAAATATATTTAAAACATGTACCTACGTAAATTATGTGCGAGTGAAGTAATAAAGATAAAATATGCTTGAACCGCGTCTGCAAAAATTTTGAAATTCTTCCTGGAAGCATATTTTCAAAGATTTAAGTTTGCGGAAATGTGCAATAATTACGAAATGGTTATGTAATTTGTTATCATTTATAAACAAATTATTTTTTCTTTATTTTTTAAATAGAAGAAAAAAGTTGGAAGGTGTAATAAACATACTTATTTATTGATTTGGTTCTTTATCTTTGCTCAAAGTTAACCAGATGTTATAAGGTATAATGTGTGAGTGTTAATGTATCTTTGAAATACATTTATATACATGTTATGCATAACATAATAACTTAGGACCCTTCGTTTTTTCTTATTTTTATAAAACGATTAGAGTCAGGTGCACCGAAGAACCCGTCAGCCACAAACAAAACTTCATAAAACCGGATGACTTAAAAAACCTCTACACATACTGAATTGAAAAAGACTTCACGCATAATATAACTGTTGCACTTTAAAAGCATCTAATATCTTAATCCATATAGACCTCAGAGCCGGAATAATTACGTGCCCTTGACGTTGACCAGTGTGTCAGGAGAACGGCGAGTTCATCTTGGTTTCTTCAGGCTTGTGAAAACACTATACGTGTTGCATCTCACCGGATTAGCAAAAAATTTATTTATTTCAGTTGTTTATGTTCAGCATTAGCTGCACAAAGCTGCATTGCACATGCGAAATTATACATTTTTATTTAAATTGTATCATGGTGTACTAACAAAAACAACGATTTAAATAAATCGGCTGTATTTAAAGCGAGTTTAAATTAGACGGCGTTTAATTTTAAAGAATCTTAGATTAAATCAGTTTACTTGAGTTTTCATAGCGAGTTTTATTTCGAGGTTATGTACTCGCAGAATTGGCTGATGAGGTTATGTGTGTCTTGTAGGCACACATCTTGTATTAAGGTCAGATATGCGAATGCTAATACAAGCATCACAATTATTTATTGATCTGATAAGTGCCCGACGCGACGGATATTTGACGATAGATCGACTTCTCATTCACGATATGCGATGCAAAAGATACTGAGATGAACGAATCAGAATGACACTCATCAAACAGAGATCCGTGGCGCTGACACACCACAGTGCAGTAATGTGGCTACTGATCTGGAAAGTAATTGCCGGTCTCGTTGGAATATCAAATCTAGGAAGAACCTGATACCAGTTCGGTGCAAGTAAGCATCAAATATATTTGAATAAATGTGTTTCATTTGCATTTAGAGTAAATTTCTGCCTGTAGATGTGGACACAGCAATGTGTCGCATGTACGTCATACCACTCTCTATCT